AGCTGAAGAGACGTCGTTGGTTTGTCGTGCCGTGTCATTTTAGCCTCTAAAGACCGCGCACACATTTTCAGTTTGAGCACGGACTGTAATGTGATGAAGGCCTGCTGCTGCTAGTGTCGTTTGTAAAACCGGTGAATTGACAGGAGTGGGATGTTAGCCCGAGGGATTTGAAAAGTGTGGCAAGTAGATTATGCAAATTGAACACGTTATCTTGATCGGTTCTGAAAATAGATGGGAAACTGAAAAAAATACAATGAAGAACTTAAAATGAACTTGAGTGGAGTTTGGGGTGTGTAGTGGATTGAAGGCCTCAGTCTTTTTGATACTTTAATAATTAAGTTAATGTGTATTTAACCCAAAATGACTGTTTGAGGTCTGATTCACCAGGAGCTAGATTTACACAAGACTCAACAGTTGTGCAGATATACTGTATAGGGGTTTGACTATGATTCAGTTTTTGAAATTAAATTCACACATAGGTCACTGTAAAATGACTTGAATACACCTCTGCTATAATGTGCAAGTTTCTGAACTAAAATGAATTTTGATATTTTGGTCAGCATAATGTAAAAATGCCCTACACTGATATAATGCTGAATAAAAACAAAACAAAACTTATTAAAAATTTAACATCATCATCATTATTATTATTTATAATAAAAGCAGTTTTGGTAAAATATTTGTAATATTTGAAAAAGATAACTTTTGTTTGCCAAAAATAAATAAATAAATAAATACATAACAATTATTATTATTATTATTATTATTATTATTTAAAAAGCTTTTTTAACTTGTTCGCCATATGATGCACACAATATATTAATATATTAACACAATATATTAATACTTCTTGTATTATTTATTAAATCATCATATTTTAATAATAATAATGATGATGATGATGATGATGGTGATGAACACATAAACCCATTTTACATTAAATTTCAACTTTTCTTAAAATTGGTATAAAAGTTTTTCAAAACCTAAACCAACATAAGAGTACATTTCTAAGAATTTGACACGTGTTGTAGACTAGATTTTGAAAGGATTTTTCCTTTTTTTTTCAACATGGATACTCTTATTTGTTAAGATAATTAAGATTTGTTCATTTGTTTTATGTAGATTGTCTTGCATGCATTAAATTTCATGCAAAAAAAATGCCTTAAAATTATTTTTTTTTTTAAGATTTATGAGTATATTTCCCAGAACTCATAGAGGGATTTGTAAAGTGTGGAATCAAAGTGAATGAATCTATCCTTATGTAAACTGGTGCATTTTTATATAATGCAATTTAATGCACTGGATTCACAAATGTTTTATATGGCTTGTAGTGTTCAAAACAATTACAGGTGCATCTCAAAAAATTTGAATATCGTGAAAAAATTTTCATTTTTATTTTGTAACATTTCAAAAAGTGAAACGTTCATATATTCTAGATTCATGTAAAGTAAAACATTTCAAAAGTTTTTTTGTTGTTGTTTTGTTTTAATTTTGATTAAATTGGCCAATACTGGCCAATCAAGCACAGTAATATAATGGTCAGCAAACCACTTGGAAGTGGTTTTTGCACTGTGGGCAGGTGCTAAAGACCTGCTGGAAAAGGAAATCAGCATCTCCATAAAGCTTGTCAGCAGATGGAAGCATAAAGTGCTCCAAAATCTCCTGGTAGATGGCTGCATTGACTTTGGACTTGATAAAACACTACAGACCAACACCAGCAGACGTCACGGCAGCCCAAATCATCACTGACTTCAGAAACTTCACACTGGACTTGGATTCTGTGCTTCAGTATTCCTCCAGACTCCAGACCTTGATTTCCAAATGAAATGCAAAATTTACTTTATTTGAAAAGAGGACTTTGGACCACTGAGCAACACTCCAGTTATTTTTCTTCTTAGCCCAGGTAAGATGTTTCTGATGTTGTTTCTGTTTCAGAAGTCATTTTCATTTTCCTGAAGACGTCTGAGCGTGGTGACTCTTGATGCACTGACTCCAGCTGCAGTCCACTCTTTGTGAAGCTCTCCCTAGTGTTTAAATCGGCTTTGCTTGACAGTATTCTCAAGCTTGCGGTCATCCCTGTTGCTTGTGCACCTTTTCCTACCCAATTTCTTCCATCCAGTCAGCTTTGCATTTAATATGCTTTGATACAGCACTCTGTGAACAGCCACCCCTTTCAGTGATGACCTTCTGTGACTTACCCTCTTTGTGGAGGGTGTCAATGATTGTCTTCTGGACCATTGCCAAGTCAGCAGTCTTCCCCATTATTGTGGTTTCAAAGAACAAGCGATACCCAGGATTTACACTGAGGGATGGTCATTTAATTAAACTCAAATGTAAATATTCTAATATTTTGAGATACTGGATTTTTGATTTTCATGAGCTGTAAGCTCTAATCATCAAAATAAAAATAAAAAAATAAAAAACTTTTGAAATGTTTTGTTTTACATGTAAAGAATCTAGAATATATGAAAGTGTCACTTTTTAAAATGTTACAAGAAAAAAATTAACTTTTTCACGATATTAAAATTTTTTGAGATGCACCTGTATATGACTGCATTCACTGACAAACACATATAACCTCACAATCACATTTTCACAACCGGCCAGTACAAGAGACTATTGTCGAGACAATCTTTCTGTAATTTGTCAAACAATGTTTGCTATGACCTAACTTCAGCAAAAGGGGACAGCCCTTTGATATTTAACATACATGCAATTCCAGAGCCTTCTAAAAATAGGAGGAGGAAGATGACATCTCTATAGCGGAGGGCAAATGAGCACTCTGCTCTCTGACCTCATCCTGCTCTGAGACATGAGGCAGAGGAAATATTTCTCAAAATGCCATTTCAAATGGCAACAGCATTCAAAGCCACATTCATAAAAAAAAATAACATAACAAAATAAAATAACTTAAAATAAAATAATAAAATTAAAAAATAATAAAGCATTATAACTGATCACAAGAACTGATAAACAATATTTTATTTTAAAAAAGCAATAGGACCAAAACCTGGTGCAGAACTCAAGGTCTTGAGCATTCATGCAGCTACGATCAATTCTGCTTGAGCTAAACGCGGGAATCTGTCCAGATATACTGTTGCAGCCGCTGCGAGATATGATCAGGCAATGCTCTCTCAGTGCTACAACTTCCTCCAAATGCACGTACACACTGTCAGCAAACTGCAAATTCATCCTCACTATTCTAATTTAACTCGGTTCTTATGAATAATGGGATCTCACGTCTTGGAATTCAAATTCTGATAAGGAAAGAGGATTAGCTCCTGAATGAGAGAGAGACAAACATAATAAAAATGCAATTTTTGTGTTTCAACAACATTTTTGGTCAGCACTGAATAATGGAGTTCATTGCTAATTAACTATATATGTAATTTACTGATTGTTAGTAACTTCTGTTTTAAAAGTATCTCTTTTTAGAATGTGACATTCTCACCTCTCTGCATGACCAATTCATGAGATCTTCTATGCACAAGAGATGAAAAAGTTGAAGCAAGTTAAACGATTCAGAATTTCTCCCCTGGGCAATGAACATTCACTCGTTCAACTTCAAAACACTTTATATATTACAATATCTTAAACATCACTGTAGAACATCACTGTAGATCAAGATGCAGAGAAGTGCCTCTGGGTTACGTACTGGGGCACAACTCAATTTTTGTTTGACATAATTTTACCCAAGTGTTGAGGTGAGTACCTCAAGGCTATGTACCTGGGCACATTTCATTTTGCCTTGGACTTCATTATACAGTAGATAGGAGCTCAGGAATACCTCAAGACTATGTAAGGGGGCCATTCCTGTTATGCAATACCTTGTGAATTCTATAATTTATAAATAAATAAATGTGTGTTGTAATTAAAGCCAGACTATGTTTAAAAAGATTATACAAGACTTTTATAAAAAGGTTCTGGTCAACCTGAAACAATTTTATTTAACAACTTTATTAGTAATTATAACTTCATTAATAACTTCATAATTTATAAATCAATTAACAATTAAAATAATAATTTGAAATAACATTACTTCTGTATTCTGTAAATGTATATGTTTTGTTTGAAATATTTTTGAGAAAAAAAGCGTGCATATTTTTTAATAAATTGCCAGTTCTTTTATGTTAGAAGTTACATAGCTTTGTTAAAAATGGCAATATAAATAAAAGAAGTTAAATTATTTAAAATTCACACCATGTTCATTTTAGTGTGATGCTGTGATTCATCGAGGCATTACCACAACAAGAATGAGAAAGTTTCTGGCATTACAGAAATGAAAATTGGATAAAAGTAAAAATAAATAAAGTGTTAATAAAATAATATGACAATGCAACACAATTTGTTAGAAGTTACATAGATTTATCAAAAATGGCAATATCCACATAAATCAAAATAATTAAATTATTAAAAAATCACACGTTAATTTTATTGTGATTCTGTTATAGAAGACAAACTAATATGTTATATA